GCGGGTGTAGCTCAACGAGGGCTGTTATGACACATCTTTTTCCTACAACTGTGGACTTTGGTTCAAAAAACGAGAATCTGTCTGGAATGCAAAATCGCCGCTAATATTGTGACCCACAAACTGTCCCTAACACACTGCTAAGTCGATACCTCACCAGGTCTTCCATTATCTGGTCTCATTAACACAACGTCTCATTTAGGTTTCAATTGTGTTCGCCTACCTCTTGCAGCGTCTCTTCGAACAGTGCGGCTTCAGTGGGTTCTTTTAGATTTTGACTCATCCCCCCGTACGAACGGGATCGGATCTGCGTTTTGCGGAAGGGTTAATTGATCTTGGAGAGGTTGTTTATTAAGGTTTGGATACGGGGGGCAGGACCGGATGGGATGGGGGAGGATAGGGTGGAGTGAGGGGGAAGAGGTGGACAAGGATATAGTCAAAGGCGGCGGAGTTGTTTTTTGTTGTCGACATGTACACTGTGTCATTCTGTCAAATTGTTGTCTGTTTAATTTGTCGTTTGTTTGTCTTTGTCCTCTGGTTGAGGTGATAGGAGTGGGATGTTGGAGGATGTCGAAGGGATGCTTTTTCCGGGGTGGGTATCTGAGGATGTGGTGGTGAGGAAGGATTAGGTTTCGGAATAAGGGGGTTGTTGATATATTTTTGAATTTGGGCTATTGCGAAGTTGTGTGAGGATATGGGATTAATATATTATTATTTTTAACCTTTAATTACCCGCTCTGGCGCACTGAGTGTGCCAACCGCTATCTTTCGATTCTCGACAACAATGCTTGTTCGTATACGTAGCAAGCATTGTTGCTGTTGTACCCTTCCCGCTAACCTATAATCAGTGTTTCTTTCACAGTTTGAATTCATGTTTAAACGGATTCTTAGTGTGTGAGTGTGCTAAGTGTTAGAGTGTGCTAACTGAATTCACCCTAATTCTCGAAACCCCCATTCTTGAAAAATGTAATAATTGCACCAGAGGGACACCGCGCACGGTCCGTGGCCCGTTCGTTAGCGTACTGCTCTGCCATTCGCGTGCTCTTGTTCGGAGAAACCAGGGAAAAATACCGGTCAGAGCAGCTGAGTGCTAGAATTCTCCTCCAGACGGCGACTAAATTTGACCCAGCTTAAAAATGTCGCAAAATTTGGTTTTATCAGCGAATAAATCATCTTTTATTTGTTGGATGAAGAGTGTGCCGCGCGAGTTGGCCACGGCACTGGAATCGGAATGGCTCCACATCCCCGTGAAACCATCCAGATCCTAACTGACTCTCGCTGCAGTTAGCGTTCAAAAAAATATGTTATTTGGGATTTTGGATGATATTAATGTGACCAAACAGAATATTAGATAATCATAACCAATAATACCATAAAGAATGTGTTGTTATAGCAGCACTGTATTAATCATATTTTCTTTTTTATTTGACAAATCAAAGTAATAATTATTTGCATGAGAAGTGATGTCAAAGAAAATAATTACTGATTTTCTCCTATTAAGAATTTTTTTTTATTTCAACATGATGCATTTCTCCTCACTGTGGCAAAAAAGAAAAATTAACTTATCCCTTTCCAATAAACCTAAAATCTACAGCATACAAAACCAAGGCAATCTTGGGCAATAAGGTACTGTGTGTTAAATAAATGTTTCATATTACAAACATAACTTTTATTGTACAAGTTATACACACTTTGTAATTATTTTCCCCATATTTTCAGAAATGGCAAATTATACTCAAGAACTTGGTTTTGATGAGGATGTCTCTCCAGAAACACTGAAAAAGGAATGTATTCCGTTACAGAATAAGATATAACTCTCTAAAAAACCAAAACTTCATATTAAAATAAACCATTCAAACTAAGGGTTTCTACCAATCAATTAACACTACAAAAATTGACAATGAAAACACAAAATTAGTCGTCATCATCATCATCATCATCAGAGAAGCCTCTTTAGAAAAATAACTTTCTATAACACATTCCTTTAACAACTTATTTTAGATGTAACAATGATTTCATCATAGCATAAATTGACTGGTTTTGTGATTTTAATAAACATACAGAAGAAAGCAAAATAAACCCAAAAAACATTACTAAAAAAAATTTTTTGAGTCCATATTTGGAATAAAAAAATACAAAGATAATAATAAATTTTCAACAATCCTAGCATTAATAAGAACTACCTATTTTCTTCATTAATTCTTCTCATAATTGATTCTGGAACAATTAATTTGAAGAAATAGTAGTTTATTATTTAAAATGCAATAATTCAATTTGCAATAAAAACAATTGTTGTATTTTGATACTCATATGAAGTCATGATTTTGTCATAATAAATTGACTAATGAAGGGAACATTTTTTTCATTGCCTCAAACCTAAAATGAAAGCTTGGTTGACAAAGATAACACCAAATCTTAGGTAATATAGTCAATGTTTCTATCCACATGCTGCAACCTTAGTTAGGGCATAATGCATTATAAAGCACACTATTCAAAGCAATGACAATACTGCCTAGGAAAGTGTGTATCTCAGATACCCAAGCTCACATGGACTCCAGGTGTGGAAATCTTCATCTACATACATGACAAAAGATCCAAAACCTATCACTGTACTAAAGAAAATACGAACCTCAAATCAAATTTTTAAATTGTATGAATGAACTTATGAAAAATGTGAACTAGAGAAAGAGTTACTCCACTACAAGCTGATAGACTACTGCTAGGAATGTACTCTCTGAAGACATTACATCAGAGCAGAAAATGTGCAACCATTACATTTCTGTTGTATTTTCATGTTCTAGAATGAAACCTCTACACCAAGTATTTCATTATGATGTTAGTTTTATATCACAGTGGAAAGGGAGAAAAAGAATAATAGAAAAACTCTTCTACTTCTTCCATTCCTATGTTCCAATTAAACTATACTACTTTTTCCATTAATGGTCTACAACAACAAAAATGCTGCTGTCGAGTGTGAAAAGAGGAATCCTGGAACAGCAAAAATGCTGCTTACAAGTACCTGTAAATCAGCATTTTTCGCTGCTAGAGGCCCCTAGATTCCAAGTGAATAGGCTTGCAAGCCTGCATGAAAATCAAAGAAAACTAGTCAGCTGTTTTGTAAGTATTTTGTGATGGTCCGATTATTCAATATTACTTCATACAAAGAATGAAGGAGAAAAATGATTTCAAAATGATTTTCATTTTCTAAGAATTTGAGGTTAGAAATGACATCATAGGCTTCCCAAATAAAATTAGGAACTAAATTTTTGATTCAATGATCAGTGAAGTTAAGGAAAATAATAGTAGTCACTGCAATAACAGAATCAAATGTTTTGCAAATTATAAAGATACTGCAGATTTAATAAATGAAAATACAGTTCAATTAGTTTATATTAGCACATGAACATAGAGCTAAAATGAAAATATCATATTATTTCATTATATCAATATATTATGGCTGGTAGACTTATTTGTTGGTCTAGATCTTTTCTCAAACATGTTTCTACCAGAAGGGCACTCATCCCACACTCTTCTCACTAACAAGTGCAGTATTTTAAACAATATAAAAAGTGATAATTGTAGACATAAAAGTTCAAATGTGAGCATGTTCTCACTAGAGCACCAAACAAAATTTCTAAAATATCACAAATACAGTGAAAAAACACTTTGAAGATCAACATCTTTACTAATAATTAATTACATATCCATGCTTATGGCTTAACATCATCATCATCATCATTGTTTTAAAGTGCCTGCAGATTAAGAATAAGATGTTACCAACTAAATACAGATGTTAACGCAATATGTAATTACTGCAGAATGTGTGGAACCATTAAAAGACACTTTGGGAAGGATATTGATTCTACCACAAAATTGAAACTTCATAACATCACAACTAAGCCAAAGCCTCTATATGGTTCAGAAACATGAATAATGAGGGAAAACAACAAGCAGAATATACAGGCAGAACAAATTATATTTCTAAGGCACCTCTTAGGAGTCATGGGAAGAGACAGGTTGAAAAACAATGACATCCGAAGAAAACTGAAAACCACACATCTAATAGAAGAAATTGAGGAATCACAAAAGAGATGGCAAGAACACATCTGCACAATGAAGGGTAACAGACTACCTGAACTCATCTGGAAATATAAACCAATTGAAAACAGAGACACAGGAAGACCTTTAAAGAGATGGAAAAATCAGGAACACCTAGAAGTTTAATCTTCTAGGTCTACTGAACAAGAGGAACAGGATCATACATAAACCCCTACAGTTCGTAATGATGATGATGATGATGCAAAACATAGTCCAAAAATCATTGATGTTTTTAAAACTGGTTTAGTAACTTTTAAACATGAAATTTCATGAAAAAATGTAGACTTAATTTGACAGTGATTATGCTTATATTTTTAATTAATATTTATATGACACAACAAAGTAAAATTATAATAATAATTAACAAAATGTCCATTATCAGATACAAAAATTAATGAAAAGTCTACAATAGTAGTCAAAAACTCAATTAACTTAGATTTTATTTATCTCCAATGCTTATTAGTTAATTTAAAACAAGAAGAGGTTTTGCAGTCAATTTCAAGCACTCTGACTGGTTGTCATTTGTTAATTAGGGACTAAATTCCCTTATTTGAAAGTATGTATGTTCTAAAATGTAGAATTTTTCTTTTTCAGACTTTTCACACTTTGTCATTTTGGTCTCAAAGAATATTGAATTCATTGATGGAAAATGATGATTTTTAAAAACAGTGTGCCATACTACACCAATATCAATATGTTGATGTATAAAACAAATGTTTTTATAAATATAAAACAAATTTTATAAAACCACTGTTTTGAAAACATTAACTTCAATGTCTCATCCTTACTACAGATATCACATGCAAATAACATTCATGCGCATATAAATTACAAAAAGAAAGGCATGAAAATATAAAACAAAAATTATTGCAACACACAAAACCATGCAAGTTTTACTTTCAAGCAAACTAATATATAATACTGAGTAACAAATAAGAATTATTCATCTCCTTTTCTATTTTGCAAAGGAGTTTTTTGGGTGAGATGAAATCTTGAAGACACAAACTTTATTTTACTTAAAATGTTATGTCAAAAGTTTGAAATATTTGTCATAAGACATGAAATGAATATTTAAAAAGAATTTAGTCAGTAATTTGCAATAATTTCCAACAGTGAAAAAATTACTCCCGTACAAAGTTAAATTTTTTTTTTACCGTCACTCTCTCTTTCAAACTATTTGTTCCTAGTGTTAAAAATACAAAGTTTTGTGATCAGAATACTTTCCATAAGTAACTAAAATTTGTCAAATAAAAATATGTCTACTTGTAAATTTTAGAAATACTCTTTTTTTTTATGATTCTTTTGAAAATAGGTTCCAGTTTCCAGTAAGTGTCAAACTGTTTTAAGTATCTTTTCATTTAAAAATTGTTTTAACCTAATTCTAATAAAAGTGGAAAAAACTGTTTGAATTCAAATAGACTATTAAAATCCATCATTTCCAAATTTTTCTATTTTTTTAAACAGAAGAACATTACTAATTAATACTCTTGAAACCAATCATTAATCACTTCTTACACTACTAACTTCATGATAATATTGATTACAGAGACAATATGAAACATAAAATATACCCAGTTTACTGATCTCAATGTATTAGATTCACCTTAAATAATTAAAAACTTTATTTATGATGATTAAAACTTTTGACAGTTGCTATTATGAATATAAAGAGAACGAATGGTATTACCTAAAAACATACATAATTTGTAAAGGAAAATAATTAGGTGCAAAAATAACATAAAATATGCAATATCTTTCTTCAAAAAATCTTTTTGTTTATTTATTATGGAACTGCACAAGTCTATAAACATGCAAATTTCATTTTAACATATGTATATACACATTCTTGAATATTTTTTGAAATATTAGCAGCAATGAACAAAAGGGTGTCAAGCAGGTCATATAAACCAGATATAAACTTATCTTTTCTAAAATAATTTTTTTTACACAAAATGACAGAATGTGATTGTTTGTTTATTGATTTTTGCACAATAATGAGTACAAAACTGTTTGAAGTATTAGTCACTACAGGAAGGAATTTAAACCCTGGTTCAAGCCCAACCATTAAGCTAATAAGACAACATAATACATCTTAATTCTACTCATTTTAAAGCACAACTCTGACTTGTTTCTTTCAGAATATCCATCAGAGGAAGTCAAGAAATTTCAAAGAAGATATAAAGACCAAACATATTATTCCAAGTTTAAAAGAATTTAAATACTTTACAAAATTGTCACAATGCTTATGACATGACGAAATGTATTTAGAATTCCGTATGTTCATAGAATAGGTGATTATTGAGAATCACATAAGGGGGGCATTCACAGGACCATGAAAATGATCGGAGTATTGCTTGTCTTGATGGCTTAATGGATAAAGTATTTGGTTATAAAACAGGTCACCATTATTCAATTCCTGGAAAGCATGACTAATGCTTAGAACAATTTAAAGAATTGAACCTGGAAACAGGTTATTTAACATTTTTTCCATAATAGTTGAATAGAAGAAAATTATTTTAAAATATTCTTCCGGTTGTTTAAATTTTAAATATATTAAACCATTAAAAAAAATAAATAAATAAATAAAGTGAAAGAACAAGAAAGCAGAAACAATATGATTCCAGTAGCTAGAAACAAACAAGTTTCAAACATTGTGAAAGCTAATACTTATTCTGTCTTGGATTGTGTAAATGGTACACAATATCCCAAAAAATGAGTTTCAAAGACAACAGTTAATAAATATTTTAATTATTTTAAAATAATCTATCTTGAAATTAGGTTTTTTAAATTTGTCATGAAATATTTCTGGTTTAATGAAACATTCAAAATTTTATGATTATAATAAAATATTCTCACTTATATGTTTGACAATACCACTACTCACAATTCTCAAAAAAACAAACAGCAATATAATATCTCATTTTTAAGAAATTGATATCAAATATAGTGATTTGATGAATGTGATTATTTTGGGTCACTATCTGACATTTTTCACCCACAACTCTCACACTGTTTGAATTTCTTTGTTTCACATTTAAATGTGATGAAAGCAAATATTAAATTGGTCAAGATATTGTGGTAAAAATGTTATATTTAGTTTCATGCGAGTTCAACTTAGACATCAGAAAAATAATATTCATTGATTCTGCATGAACAAAAATACATTCTGTCTCACACTGTAAAGTAAAATTGGATTTTGCAAACATCAAAAGCACAAGAGGTTAATGCAAAACATTCAGATCACATAAAACACACAAACACATTCCTCATATCATTCACAATGCTAATATATTTTGAGCCTACCCATCGACCACCATGTCACTGCTTCGATTAACACGCTGATCTACATCTTTAAGGTGAGTATAAAGTTTCGCCAAACTTCCACCTCCAGGGAGACCTTCACCATTAGTCCTTCCCAAAAATTCTGGTCTGGCTTCTTTTGCAGCTTTCTGTTCTGCACTAGATCGACTCACCCACATATCCAAAAAGGTTCGTGGACCAGAATAAATACTACCACCAGGGAGGCTAGGACGCACTGTCCGAATCGTAGGTGGTGTAGTGACTGACACTGGAGGAGGTGACATGGGTGAATCAGTAGTAGCTCTAATGACACTAGCTCTTGAAACATATTCTGATGATTGATTTTCACTCAGTTTTCCAAACCTAAAAATGTTACAGACTTTTAATAATGCATTAAAATCACAATAATATGATATTATGAAAAATAAAGCTACGTACTGATCTAATTCTCGAAGAGCTTGATCTAACTCAACCTTATCTTCTTTCACCGCTTTATCACCTTTAAATTTCTCATCATCAGACTTGTTACGACACTCCAATAAACAATTAAGAACTCGACTATGTTGATCTGAGCGACAGTGAGTGCGAATAAAAGTTTCTAACTCACTCCACATTATTCTATATTGCTCTTCCCTGAAGAGAGAAAAAATTCATTACATGTTTTTATTTTTAATATTTGTAATTCTACAGAATAGAAAAGTATAATAATGACAGTTTCACATGGGAAATAAAGAACACAATAAAAAAAATAAATTAAAGAAACAACAATACAAAATACAGTATTTATGAGAAGTTACACTATCTGTTCATACTGCTTTTCATTGGGCATGCAAGCATGCTTATAGTTACACATATACTAGGGTGGTTGTTACTTTGGCAGGATTGAAAATTCTTCATCATCAGCTGCTCCTGCTGAAGGGCACTGATACTCAAACTGTCATACTTACTTAACACTTTATCAAGCTGTATGTCGATTATCAAAACCCATATTTCATGGCACTTTTGTATTAAACATTATTTATTAATGAAATAACTATCAAGTGTAGTCGACAGAGCTCTTTTATCCAACCTACTCATAAGCCTATTTACCTTTACGTTACCTTTACCTTTTTTTATTCAATTTGCCTGTCTCGTCGCCCGAGTGATACCTACTTCTGCTGCTACTTTGGCAAAAGGAACGAAGCAAAATCTGTATGTTCAGGCAGATGGCCTGAGCCTCGCCGTATGAAATACAACATCATTGAATTGAACTGAATTAAATTGAATTGATGTCTGGGAGGAGAGGCAAAATTAATTATTCAATCTAATTACACAATAAATAATGAATAAAATTCTCACCTTCTTGGACCCTTTCCTCTTTGCCCCATAGCTGGAGTTTGGAGAGCTTCATGTTTAGATTCAAGACCAATGAGATTGTATATTATTTGTTTACACTGCACCACTTCTTCATCTGATAACTCTTCTTTTAAAAGCAATGATGGTAATGGATCAACATACTAGAAATAAATTACACATGTTATTCTGGTTAAAGAGTATGTGAATACTTTCATATCAAAAACATAGTTATTACATTCTTCAAGTTGAAAATTAAAGTTGATGAAATAGTAATAGGCCAGTATTTGGTATGTCGATCAAGGCGTCCTCTCATTTTATTAAGAGGCATTTCTGCATCACCTTCATCCATTTTACGCTTTGAAGGAACTAACTTATTATTTTGCATTAATATACCAAAATCCTAGAAATAAAGCACAAGGTACAAAGTTATAAGCAATTGAATTTTTAAAAAAATCAATATACTTCAAGGACAAACATGATTCAATTAAAATTGGTTTTATCTACAAGAGAAGACTGAAATTTGTTCTTACAGTAATTCTATAATCAGTTACTCTTCCTCCACAACCTTCACTTATTGATGGTGGATCTTCCAAAACACTCCTAGCAGTGACCAATGTATGGACAAAGATTTCACCACCATGTGCTGCTAATAAATGTGATATCATTTTCCCACCAGCTTTTCGAGGCATTTCTAACATTACTGATCTCCCATTCAACAAGAAATTGATTAAACAGGATGAAGGGCGACTGAAATGCAAAACAATATAAAACAAGATATTAATCCCTTAGTATACATTGACTATCTCTCATATTCACTATTAAAAAATCAATGAGTAATTTATAAGTAGTCAACACTTTTAATCCGAAGGATGTATCTGATATGTCATCTTCATTTTACGACTATGTCCTATGGACATAGTCATACATTTTAAATATCATTAAGATGGCTGCGGGACAAACAGCAATGTGAGCTTCTGTTTTCTGCAAATATATCCAATTTTTTCCAGGATGCAATTAGATTTTTGTACTATTGTTAATTATGTTTAAAATATCCTTCTTTGTAAGTAGCTTCGTGCTGTTATCAAAATACACAGATGTTTGAATACATATACAGATGTCAAATTCACAGTGACTTTCAACATTAGAAATTCAAGAGTTATTGAATAATGGATTAGAACTCGATTCTTCTGATGAGAACAGTGATATTATCCCTGGATTGTTATCTGAGGAATGAAAATTATATTGAGGAGAGTAATAATGATGCAAATGATTCTATTGGTGAGCATGCTGAAATTGAAGTTTTCATTGCCTTTAGAATTCTGTGAAATAAACAATCTGAATTAACAGTGTTTGAGAAAACCAGAGAAACAAAATTTCCTATAAACAAAAACTCAACTGGTTCTAGACTACTTTTCATCATTTTTTTACCACAGTATATTTCGAAAAATAAAGGGAGAAATGAGTAAATATGCAAATGGAACTATTTTTTAATAACTTTAACATAATATAAATACTGTGCAAAAGTATTGGTGTTTTATGAAATTCATTGTGTTTCCTCCCATATTTTTTGTAAACATTGTTACTTTCAGCAAAAATAAAAATTTCCAACATGTGTTTCTTTTTCTTTTTTCTTCTTACTACTATCATATAATCAATGATCATAATATGCATACAGACTTAAAGAAAAAAGACAATACAACAAGATTTTATACATTTCAAACTTATACGTATGATAGTTTTTGTTTTACAAAATTTTGAAAAATAGCGATATTGCTCAGGACACAGGAGTTAACCACGAGACGTATCCCTCAGAATCAAATGTAATAATTAAATTGAAATTTCTCAATATTTTTATGATCACTAAATTTTTCCATTATCTGCACAAATTATCACATTTCTCAATTTTCACTTTGACCTGAAAGTGAACTATCAGGCTAGCTATTCTAAAATTCATCTCTCCGAGGGTCACGAATTCTAGAATAGCATACAATTAAATACTATAGTAGAACCCTGCTAATCTGAACCCTGTAAATCCAAAATTTCAAATAATCCAAACAAAATTCGTGGTGGAGGAAAAATAAACAAAATGCTTATTTGTAGAGTAAAGAAAGGATTTTATAATTACTGTAGAACTGACTACTGAACTAATTACTTAAATGTTTTTGCATTGGTAACAACGGTGTATATTATGTTTATGAAGCAGTAATTTACACTTAGAAGAACTTGCAAAATCAGTAATCTTTGTTTGCCATAAGGAATTGAATCTGCTTGATGATGTGATGATGGGATCACTCAATATGTTGCATTGTCTGGTAATTCTATAGATGAATTTGTATAGTATGTACAATATATATGTAAAACACATTTTTTCGAATAATCCAAACATTTTCATATCCAAAGAGACCACATCCTCAATTAGTTTGGATTACCGGGGTTCTACTGTATTTAAAATATGGATTATTTTATTATTTTGTACCTGTTTACATCTACTGGAGTAATTCTATGCATGGCAGTGCAATTTTGCATCTCAGCAGCACTGCAACCTCTAGGAGTACACCACTTCAGAGTTACAGTCTCATAGTCGGCTCCTTCCCTCTGAGTACGGATTAATGCTGAATCTGCTGCATTTCCTGTTTGGAAGGCAATATTTCTGATAAATATACTAATTTCTACATTCCTTGGATGAAAAGTTCCCAGGAAGATAAAACATAAATTTATGTTCTATAAATACAATACCATAGCTTCTAACTTCATTTGGTAGAAACAAAGAGGAAAACTTGTATGTTCTTTTAAAAGTTACACAACAGCAACTTACCTTTATTAAGTACTGAACACCTTTATATTCATAAATAAATAAATATTAAAGTTGAATTCACATGGCAATATTGTTTAAAACATCATTTTTACTGAAAGTCAATTGAGTAATAAAAGTTATTTTAGATCTATCATTCAAGGACACAAAACCCATTTACAATAGACTTAAAAACTCCTTTAATCTCTCAAGACCTTGGACAAATCAGAATTAGCCACAGAACACAGACTATATACCTCTAAGAATAGAAGTATGGGCTGCTGATGAATGAAATATTTCAACATCATAGTTGGCAGATGAGCTGGCATTCTGTTCTTCTTTCATTGGTATTCCAGTAACAGTTGTTGAAGCAAGATCGTAGTGATTTAAAATTAAATGAGAGAGTTTTGCTGCAATGCCTCCTCCAGCTTGTACAGAATGGACCTCTGAAGTCAAAATTGCAGAAAGCTGTAAAGAAATTTCAGCTTGTGAAAACATCCTTCCAAAATTTGGCATCAGCATGCTTATTCTATCCAACTTTTCTTTCTACCTAAACAAACCTAATTCAGTCAAGGTAGTGCAGAACATTTCGTATAAAACCAAACCAATATAAACATATTAAATAAATAAATAAATATGACAACATTCTCAAAACAGCTTATAAAAACAATTAACACTACAATTACAATGTTATAAATGGTCAATGCAAGTGAGTTAGCTATCTTTTCTAAACAATTCCAGTATTACTTTCTATAAATAAAGAACTTTTTAAATTATTTAATTATTTATTACACTCGTTGAGTTAAAATTTTTAAAAGGATTTTCAAATATCCATCATAACAGGACTCTGATTTCGATTTCAAGTCATCTTTTCGTTGGTTCATTCTAAATGTAGCTAACTTGTAAAAGTGTGTTTATCACGACATAGGCTACAGAAATGTATAGTTATTGGGTAAATTGTAACTTATTGCCATTAATTTTTAGGTCTTTTTTGGACCTTTGCATTGTTTTTGTCATTTTTATGCATTTCCATTTTCTATTTCATGTTTTTTGGAAGTGAACGTATCACAAATTTACAATCACATAATAAAACAAAGTTTTTATTAAAACAAAGTTTTTATTATATCTTCAGTTTATGACAAAATTCACCACTGCAGTGGACTCTGTTTTTGAAAATCACTTGAATCTTCGGTCACTTTCTCGACTTTTCAAAACTGACGGTTGGAAGATTGGAGCTTAGGATTATATTTCCTCCTAAAATATAGACTTTATATTAAATATAATTTTATATAAATAATTTTTTTTGGATATTGTAAAATTCATTGAATCAATTAACATTTTCATACAAATTTATGAGTATAAAAAAATTAGGTAATTTTCCCCATGCTTTTACACCATTTTATAGGTCATTTTCAAAGAATTTTTAGGACACCAGATTCTGAGCCCTGATTATAACATTAAGAAAATACAATCCAATAATTTTTTTCAGGTCTGCTTTATTTTCTGAAATATTAAACCATTAACTCTAGTTTGTTTGGAGACAAACCCCATTGTTAATATCTTTAAATTCCACAATGAATAGTACTTATCTGTACTAGAGGGCTGATTTGGATGACAAAACTGATCAAAAAAATACTCTTAAAATGCTTTAAAAATGCCCAAAAAACAAAGAAAAATTACGTAAATTTTAGTATCAAAACCACTTCAGAATTGAACATATGAGGCTGTTAGATATGTTACTGATGTAACTGAGGCTTCTTGTTTTTGTTCAAGTGAACTCAGCTTAAAAACTTTTGATTTGGGCTGTTCTTTAAGAGAAAATGTATGCCTTAATCATGTGAAATCGGCCGTACTGACAATGGCACCGATAAGCATCACAGGAACCTTAGATTACATAGTACTCACACCGGCTACAATATATGAGCAAAGAAATCAAATAGGCTACTCGGGAATTCCCTGGTGAACATTTGTTGTGCCTCGTAAATATTGTTTGAAGCAAGTGCCACTATAATGATATTAAAATTGATAAAATCAGCAAAAAAATCATGAAATTAAAACTCAAAAAATTACTTGTTAGTTGAAATTGAAGAAAAATGCCAAAAAATGACATAAAAATGTGTCATTTTATTTTGTCATAACATAAAATTAATGTCTATATGAAACAGCATTGTTCTAAAGTGCGAATAAAAAAATGACATTTCATTCCCCCCCTACTTATACCATTCATTGAATGTAAGAACTAGTTTTATATTATAGATCAGAATAAACATCATTTTACATATTTAACATATAAAGAATACTGGAAACTAAAGATTTAATAAAATACTATACATTTCAACATTAGTATGACAAATTTCTGAGAGAAAAAAAACTTTTGAGTCTCATTAACCCATATGAAATTTAAATATTTTATGAAATGCAGATATAAATACTGATACTCACATCTTTTGGGCCATGTCCAGTAACTTGACTCTCCATATTATTTGGGAAAGCATTTATTACAACCAAGTGACAGTGATGAACAGTTATAAGACTGAAAAACATTTTGAATTAATTTTATAGATTACTCAGAATCAATACAAAAAAATTATAAATAGGATAAAGTTACAAACTCACTGGTCTGAACCTGCTGCAATTTTATTCTGCTGAATTACAACATTTTGGAAAATATCTTCGAGACTTTTTATACTTGCATTATCACGGGCTGAGGTAATACAAATTACTCGACACCGATTTAATACCTAGAAATGTGATTAAGAAATGAGGTGAGCTGAAGAAATATCTTTCAAATTATTTTACCTTGAAATAAAAGCATTTAAGATCACATATACAACAATACTGCACAAATGCATTGCATACCAATCCCCTATTCCCAATAGTATGTATTTCTTGACTATAATGGTGTTGCAATTTTTCTTGAATAATTAAAAAGGTACTTGTAGGAAAATTGATTAACTACATGGGCAGAAATTAGGTAACTGATGATAAATCACCTTACCTTTAGGCAAGAAAAGAATGCATTGGATTGAAGAACCTTGAATAATGGAATTTATAACTATGGCTTTAAGTGATTGTAAGATTAGTGCATTAGTGTTCTTGGGCGTTTATAAGTCCCTTGATCACATGCAATTTGAAAACCTGGTTAGTAATTTCTAGTCAGTTTTAAAAGTTTTGTTCAAGTGTGCATTACAGGTGTGTTACACAGGGAAGAGGGGATATTCAAAACACACTAAATTTGCATTATATAATTTATGGACAGCCCTAAGGAAAGACGATAAATTTTTTCTCTTTTATAAGAAATCATGGGTACAAGATCTTTTAAGAACTATATTACTGCTGGATAGGGCATTATTCCTCAGAGGAACATCAAAGAGCTTTAAAACAAAAAATACTGAAGTTCATGGATTGTGGAACACAAGCAAAACATACCACATCCTTTGCCAACACACATAACTAAAAAAACACGTGGCCTTGAGCCTTACAACAATTTTTTGTGTTCCTGTAAGGTGTACAAGTTCCATTTGCTATACTGTAATCTATAAAATAGAAATTTACGGACATTCTGTTGCATTTTTTTATGGTTCCGACACTCCATAGCACAAATCGTGAAAAATACTGCAAGTTGGGTTCCAGCATGAAGTTATTTTCATGTCTAAAACAATAATTTAAGAAGTTTTGTTTTGGAGGATTCCAATTTTTTGCAAAAAATTGTGAAGGTTCCTTCTACTGTATGTTTCTACTGTTTTCACTCTCCTTGATACTCCAGCTATTCAGCACTTCCTGATTCGTCTGTGAAGGGAAACACCATGCAATACACTGCTGTAAAGTTTTTAAAAGTATTTTGTAACAAAAAGTCCACACATTTTGAATTTCCAATTTAATTTCCAGATTAACATGTGAGGTAACATCTGAGGAAGATTTGTGGGAATACTTGGGGCAGTTTTACAGAAAGTAAAAAAGAACTTTACAGAAAGTAATTAGGAAGAAAAAGAGTCTTATTGGATGACCTGTCAATTTAATAAGGATAATAACTGCACCAAAATCACAAAACAATCCTAGGATAGTCTATGTTATTATACAAAATATGTAACAGAACCTCATCTGGGCAAAAATCATGCCATGTGAGAAAGCCAATGAAAACATGTCCTATCAGTGAACATTAAAAAAAAATTAACAGTTTAAAATAATTCTGTTTGAAAATATAAATACACAATAAATCAAAATATAATGTATATTAAGAGAATGCCAGACAATGTACAATACATTTATGACAAAAAATAGCATCTCCCATGATTTCGTCAATTCATAACAGCTTTATTGTACATTTGATATATTTGGACAATGAATGAGGTCAAACATGTTCACTTGTTTTCCTTAAATGTATTTCTTTACATATACTATTTTTTTGTTTGTTTTTACTTTATGATTAAAAAACTTTGAAGATAATCAATTTTCTTTTTTTTTTTTTAAATCTTTGATATTATAACAAACAAATATTTTTATTTGGAATACAATCAATAAATATTATTTCCTTTCAAGCTAACACTTTCTTTTCACACACAGAAATTATTTCATAACTGACTTGTTATTGTTAGAATGATATCTCAGAAATTCTATAAAGTAACCACTTCTCTCTTTGAGAATTATTTATCTCATCTTCATTGTCAATTATTGATTTAGTGAATGTGAAAATATAAACTTCTTTTATTATTGTTGGAAACAAAAAAACTTGTAGTCAAGACTTTAATATGTATTATGAAAACTGAGCTTGTGCTCATTAGCAAGACATAAAATGTTTTTCTTTAAACCAACAAAATTGAAAGGAAAAATGTTCATCATATTTTTGCAAAGTTTATTTGCAGATAATATATCGCAGTCCAACAGTTGCTATGAAAAGCATAAACCATCTTAGCTCCACCACCCAAAGTATTACCCTAGCACAAACATGAATATTGGTCCTTTGTGATTTGTATAGGATGAATCATATCACCACAGTTATCACCAGCCCAAAATAATTACCAGCAGTAAGTCAGTACCATATACCCTGCACACCAAAAAGTATCAGGTTGGTGGAAATGCATCTACATATTATTGCCTATCACATTAAGCCTATGGCCATAGCTGTAGCCAATATTTATGCAAATGTATGTTACTAAAATAACTTTTACATGTGTAGAAGTATTATTAAAATACAATTATAGTGTCGAATATAGTAAGTAGTGTATTTCCTGATCAAAATTTATGAAAATAAATTGAAAGACAAACACATACCTTACTAGCGTTTTCAGTAAGTGAAGTTCGTTTTTCATGTTGTATGTCTGAACACTCACATAATGCTTCAATTGCTGCACGCAAACCATGAATGACTGAATAATCACCTGCTTGATGTGCTCGAGGTGGAATTCCCATTGTTGCCATTGCATTGAGAATCTACATAGTGAATCAAAACATAAGATATTTTAACAAGGAAATTAATATTTTTCAATTTTCAAGGAATATGCATTGTAAGAATACCAAGTAGAAAAAAAATAGATCCATGGTAATGTATCATTTGTTTTGTAGATATTTATATACATTTCATTGTATTACAAAATTACAGAATCATATCTGTTTAACATTTAACGCTGTTGAAGGAGACAAAGCTGGATCAAATAACATGTTTTGATATTCTAAATGCAAATCTCTAACAATATTAACACTCATCATAAATTGAATTTAGAATTTTATTTCATTAATATCAAACTTATAAAGAAGAACACAGTTCATGGTATGAAATTAAGTTATATAATGTTACAGACATAAAATAATAATAATTGCATTTTATGGCCTAAACCAATATTCTAACTACTTTTTGGAGTTCTTTAACTAACAAAAGAATGAAATAAACTGCAAAATGCACAGCACACAGAATTCAATTCTTAATTTTTTTAAACCCACATCACAATAGAACCTCAGTCATTAGAGCTCCCACGTTCTTAGCTGATCCTGCCATAGAGCATCATATTTCCAAAAATTATAAATTTGATGCTCAGAGATTGAGAATATCACAATGAAGGGTTCTAAATTGTGGGAATACTTGTGCCCTTAATCTGTAACTGGCAGAACAAGGTCAAATGTCCGATAGAATGGGGTCACAAAATTATACTTTTTTCTCGTATTCCAAAAATATCAGCACGTCTCAGTGCCTTTTATGCAGTAGCTATTGAATTATCATGTGGAACAAATGTGTTTTATGTTTAATTTATGATAACAAGTGGAGTCAATATGGCCTGGTATTACCCAGTTATGTAACATTTTTTATAATTGATAAACTAAAAATTTGAGGATTCAAATATTTAGAAATGGTTGAAGATGTTTTGCAAGCCAATGAGAGTAACTTCAGTGGAATTGAAGAATGGTTTTCATCCAGATTTGGAGTTCGGTACGTCACATATAATTATTCAGAGGTAGCCTAAATAAGTCCCCATGATTACTTTAAGTTGTAAGTGGGAAAAGTAAAAATTATCCTGAGCTCAATGTAAAACACTAGTATTTAATGACTGCGGACACAAAAAAAATTTGTGGTGATAGCTTGTAAAAATCAATACACAATTAGAAAAAAATATTTTTTTCAGTTAAATGACAAAAAGTATTTTGAGGGGGGGAGTGAACATTCCTGACTGCTGCACCAAACTACTTCCCTGGGAACAGCCATATTTAACTGAATATTTATTTTACACTAGCAAAAGTGACCCATAATTGTAATTTATTATTCACAATTATCCACTACACAAAAAAAAAGGAAAATGAATGAAAGTAATTTTATTCAATCCCCCACCATGCTCCACCTTCATTGCTCTCCATTGAAATTCCCACCCTGCCCCATTCAGTGAGCACTAATATTAATTTTTAAAATTCTGTTATTTGGAGCCTCGTTGCCCTATTGCAATGAATCAAAATGTATTTAAAAGGAAATATTACAGGCTCCCAGAAAATTCAGATGCACTTTGGCTGATATCCTCTCTGATTTCAAGATCCTTGAAAAATTAAAAGGGTGCCGACATTTTCAGCTTTAGGGGGAGATGCTGGTGCTTTTTAAGGAATTTTTTGGAGGCAGTAACTTTTCTCTTGTTTTGTAGGTTTTGAGAGCCATGATTCTATTCTAGAAAAAATCCCAGCCAGTAAAAAATTGAGAAAACAATTATATGAGTTTTAAAAGCATCAAGCAAGTGAAAATAATCATATTGTCTCTTTCCCAGAGTGACAATATGATTATTTTCATGCTTTCAAAAATCATATAATTGTTTTCTTAATTTTTGTTTGACAGAGCTTTTTACAGCAAAAATCTCAAAAATTAAGATTAACTGATTCTCCAAAATTTTTTAAAATATGGAATGTGTGTATCTCTGACATTATTCCAATTTGCACTTGGTAACAGGGGCATCACTATTTCATGGTTGGAAATTGCCATTTATTTTTATGGAATAATGTTGCCCAAAAATTCAGAATGTTATAAAATCCAACAAATAAAGTTAAAAAAACAGGCATGTATATTTTTCTGATGTAACTTGCAAGGCAATATTTCTTATCATAAATTAGAATTAATAGGAAAGCAAATACAGTTGTGGGGAAATTAAATCACACTCTCAAGAAAACAAGTTTTTTGCATTGCAACACACGGAAAAGCGACAATATGAGCTTAAAAAAATAGTTATTTTGAAACCACTGATAGCCACTTCAATTTTATTAATACAAATAGCATGCACTACAATATAGAGAAATAAGAAGTAATTGTGATTAATTAGGTATGACAAGTGAAGGGCAAAATTTTTCTGCATTTAAGAGACAATGTCATTTAACACACTTCATGCTGGTAACATTAATGTGCAAAATGCAACTACTATCTTTCCTACTTCTTACAGATATATACTCACAAATGTCAAATTCTGCTGTGAAGGTGTCCATGAGTTAAGAACATGAGATGTTGAATCACTGACCACAAAACGCACCTATACATCAAATTTCATAATTAAATTAATGAAATATTAATACTTCTCCAAATCTATTGCAAACGCAATATTGATTAAACACAAGTTCATATAAGAATATTCAGAATTTATATATGGTTAAGTTTTACTCAAAAAGAAACTAATGAATTAGACATAAGTAAATAGCTGACAACACTTACCAATTTTCCTGTTGGAAACAAATCCCATACTATTCGACAATACTCCACTGCAGCTTCAACACTACAAGTCCACAACGACTTTGAGATAGGAGCCAAAGGAATGAAACCGGGACCTCTGGATTTTGTGAAATCAAATTCAATTTGATATTCACAAGAAATGCCGAAATATGGTGTATGATCCAGGACAAAAACAGTTTTATGATTTGATGGATACATTCTTTCCAACATGTTTATTAGAGTACCTTAAAAAAAGAAATAAAGCTCACACAAAATTTTGACATAGGAGTAAACATGACCATTAAAAGTAGTCAACAATAACTGAAAAGTATTAAAAATTGACATTTGGGGATCATGCTTGGTTGTATTTTTTTTATCAGCAAAGAACTCCAATTATCAAATACCAAGACAATACTTTTTAGTACACTCAAGGTAATGTAAATATATATCGAGCAAACAAAGGGCACCTGACAAGAAATATAGAACTGTTTATTTTACTACCTAACATTCACTACCTTGGTTAAGGGACGGACATATGAATTCATGTAATTAAAGGAGAACAGAGCTCTCTAGAACGATTTCAATTACAATTCAACATTCACGGTTAAGCAGAAATACGTTCTCAATTGTCGTTAAAATTTGTACAGAGTCCAATATCAGTGTCTACACAACCGCGGCATGTCAGGGTTCAGTTTCTAATCAGATGTCATGCGGTCGCATGCGGAACAGACATAATGTATCGATCGAATTAGTCGATAGTTATAAGTGGAGTATACTGCGATTTTTCCAACTCTGCCTCTGGTAGGTATCAGCTGTTGACAGTTTCATCCAATCGAGAACTTAACGTCACTTAGTGACGTCACTGTGGTGATGTTCAAGCTTCCAATTGGATGAAATCGTCAACAGCTGATATCTGTCAGAAGCAGAGTAGGAAAAGACGCAGTAAAAGCGGCAAACGAAATGATAGTTCGTATCATGGAAATACAGTCTGAAATAATCCGAATACGAATAGCGGGTGTTGGTAACCATGAATAATTAAAGTAAAGTTAGTCCTATATTTATTTAATGAGAATTTGAACAACTTATTTAAAGTATAATTATGGTTATGTAAACGTGCTTATTAGTTGTTTTTTGAATCCTACTATTCGGGAGATTCGAAATCGCAATTTTCGAAAATTCCATATGAGAATGGTTCACAGGGTTAGTGGGTATGGTTACCAGGTGTCACTGTTTGAGCCGACAGTCCGCTTTTGTTTTTGTTTTTTGTTGCTTTTTTTTTCTTCACATAATGGTCACAATTTTTTGTCATAAAATAGAGGACACTTTCTTATTCAAAAGCTTTATGATGAAATGGTACGTAATCTGAAGCTATACAGTCTAAGAGAATAAATATAGGAAAATTTAAAGGAAATATAGTATTTAATTGTCATTTTTACTACCCCCTGTTAGCCTGCTATTTTTTTGGAAGCAGATCTGGCAACCCAATTAGTGGGTTAGGTGTTAGATCAAAAGCTATGGATGCACAGAATCTCTCGTACTAGTTAAATTCCTACTCTCTTTCATCTGTGCAACCTTTTCAGTTCCGCCTCCACCTCCACACAACTGCAGTCAGTTATATATCTTTAGCTGCGGTGGCTTAGCTTCAGTCGGTGTCTCCCGGGGCAAAAGTAATGGTATCTATCTGTCTGTACTTGGCGCCACAGACCGCGTACGGGCCATGGCCTACCAGCAGTGTCCTCTGGCTGGCGAATTGACCGAGCAGCGCCCGTGCAGTGCGCACCAACCTCATCTGCGATCGTGACCCTCGTACATTCTGTTTTAGCTACAAAGCGGTTCAGCCGTCCAGAATCGCACTTCCGACTACGAACCAGCTGACCACGTGGTGTTGGAGACAGCTGCAACCCGCCTCACATACGACTTACTACGACCTTGAGAGAATTAGGACATCCGACGATCCTCCCGTATACCCCTTACTAACTTCAATATACAGCCCTAGAATGTACTGTCATCCTATTTGGAACCCCCACCACTACCATAATCATCATCTCAGCCTACAAAAGACCCCATTCCTCGTTTCCCACCTCTGATTTTAACATCCTTAACAATCTACCCTATCCATTTATCTTTCAGGCGATGTGAACTCTAAATTCACCGGATGGGGCTGCTCGACTAGTAACATAGCTGGACTGAGACTTGAAGACTTCCTGAACAACAACCCCCAATACACATCAAATGTCCCCCTGAACCCACACACACAATTAACGGAAACCCTCACGATATCCTCGACTGCGTCCTACACTCCTCCCAACCACATATCACCACACCCAATCCCAAATATTACCTCTATGACTTTTCCGACCTCTTCCCAGTAATATTCACCTCCTCATCCACAACTACCTACATTTCCCCCAAACCCCCAACCATCAATAACACCAACTGGAAATCTTACAAAAATATCCTGTCCAAAAAAATACATGTCACTCAGCAACTACACCCTCCCCTCCCCGACGAAATAATACTATCAGACTGAAGAGTCATATACGACGATTCTACAAACACAGACGAAACGAGGACAAAAACGTTTAAAACAGACTCAAAGACAAGTTCACTCACTTCTATAGAATTTCGAAACGAACAAATACAACGAGTTACTTAATGACAAGAGCAACTCCAATAATATCCACAAAGTAATTAAGGCAGTACGATATAACCCAACACGAATTTCCCTCTCTTTACACCAACCAAAACTCCCTATTCTTTGACCCCCCAAATAATTGCAGACACCTTCGCCCAAACCCTGCCCGCCAGCTTCTACCCCCTAAATATCCCAATTCCTCAAAATGTTTTTCGCAACGCCTCGAGAACCCCAACCCTACCCCTCAATCAGCACACAACCTGGACGACAAACGATACGGAAATTAGACAGCTACTGACAATGACAAATCAATCAAAAGCCCCCGGACCCGATTGTGTTCTTCCCACTCAGCTCCGTAACCTTCCCAAGAATTCGGTAGATCTCCTTACCTTCATCCTCAACTCCTGTTTCAAACTGTCTTACTTCCCCTCCCTCTGGAAAACAGCCCGTTTGTCCATGATTCCTAAACCCGACAAGGATCATCGGCACTCCAACGGAGACCAATAGGCCTCTTTCCCATCCTAAGCAAAATCTTTCAAAAAGTAATCCTTCGCCTAACTCCTATCATCGGCCCAATATTTGACCAATCCCAATTTGACTTCCGCGAGGGTCGCTCAGCGGACCTTCAAACACTAAACCTAACCCTCTCTATAGCCACCCCCTCCAAGACTGCAAAGATATCCCCACTATCCTTACAGATCTTACACAGGATTATGACACCATATCCCACCCAATCCTCCTCTCAAAAATCCGCCCCCACATCCACTCTACTCCAAAGCTACCTCACCCACCGATTCTTTGACGTCCAATACTACTCCAAAAAATTCCCCAACTATCCCATCCAAGCCGGCGTCCTACAGGGCGCCGTGCTCTCCCCACTCCTTTCTTCCCTTGTATATAAACGACATCCCTTCCACCCCTGAATTAGAGAGATTCCTCTACGCTGAAGATCTTGCACTCCTTGCTTCCTTCCCTGGGTCTCCCGAAATTCCATCAACATCCAAATCCCAAGCCATCCTCTTTTCCTATAAAACCTGTCCATCAAACCCATCCCCTCTGACAATAAATCAAACGCTTATCCCTGGTAACCCCATGTCAAATATCTTGGCATTACCCTTTCCCGCAGACTCCTTTGGTCCCAACACCACAATAAAAACCAACCGGATCACAAACGCCCTTTACCCTATCCTGACTAATCCATCCATCCCCATCCAAGAAGAAAATCCAAACCTACAATACCTATAACCACCCAGTTCAATTTTTCATTTAAAATACAGGATCTGGCAAGTATAACCCTACACTTTGTAATATTATTTGCAATACTCTTTGCAATATTATAAAAATTGGAGCCGTTTTTGTGATGACGTTACGGTGTTTCTGAAAATGCGGAATTTTGAGCACTTTTTCACAGAAAACTTCAGTTTTCGAGAAACTTAATAAGACATCATTTATAGCATATGTACTCATAAATACAATACTTTAAACTAATTACCGCTAATTAAAATATTAACATCACAGACAAGTTAAAAAAGTATATTTTTGTAATAAAATAAAAGAGTAGAACAGAGGCATTTTTGTCAACTTATAGAGTACATTTAGCACTATTCCTAGCAAATGTTTAAAGATAAAACTTGGAGCCGTTTTCAAGAAAATCTTCTTTTTGATATTTTTTTGAAATTTGTTCATATTGTGTACAATATTGCACGAAAACTACATACATTTTTGAAAAAAATAATCATCTTAATGAAAAACTAGCTATTGAGAAAAAATTTACTTGAAAAATCTCCATCTTCAATTTTGTAATAGTGGCATAAGCCGCAAACGTTTCAAACTTTATAACTTTTCGAAAATTTAGGAATAACAGTGAAAATTGACCTATGCCATCTTTATAACTGAATTTTACTCTATTCTTTCAAAACAATTTAGAGACTTTTTTGAAAAAAAGAATTGAAAATGTCTCAAGGGCTTCGGGTAAAGTTCCCTCAAATTTTAAAGATGATATTTACAATTGCAAATACTCAAATCGAGCCACACCGACCGGGAAATATCCATTTTGAAAAAAAAATGTAGGAATTGTTTAGGTCGTAGTGGTGTTCACGGTGGATGTTTGGCCGTCAATCGATTCTTTGGTATTCGGTTTCGGCACAAAACAAGAATTCTGGCTACACTATGTGTTAGAGGATTTTTTTCTTAATTTAGCAACAGCATTTATCCACTTTTTCGTGCCCAGGGCCCGACAATAAGAGTTTTTTGCCTCTACTGCGTAAGTGGCAGTGAGAAAGTAAAAGGAAACGATCAAACAAAACTTGATCTTGTTGCAAAATTCGATGTTGATGGAATAAGACCGTTATGAATTACAATTACAAAAATAAACATTAGTAATACAATGTGTGAACTAGGTGTTGAAGGGAAATAAGTCCAATTGTATAAATATCAAGCAAGTTGTGAGAAATTGTGAAACGAATCATTATTGGTTGTATTTTGTATTTTCAAGAGTATTTTAAAATACTATTTTTTATCTAAAATGCTTTTATGGAAGTATTTGGTATCTAAAATACTTTCAACGTAGTATTTGTATCTGAAATACTTTTTGCCGAACTCTGACTCCTGACTTAGCAACCAGCTTCCTAAGGAACAGATCTAGGGACTATCGGTGCCTCTACAATACTATGCTCAAAATGTGGGCTGATCCCAATAAAGCAATGTCTTGGATTTCCAAGTCTTTTGAATGACCTGAGAGTTTAGTCATGCTCTTACACAAATTTTGCGGAACGAATTTGAGAGCTACGATAGCTGTCGGCGCGACCTGTGCTTAAAAAAAAATATCATCAGTAGTAGCTTAGTAGAAGTTGCAGCAACATGCCGAATGATACTGCACAAAGTAGATTATAAATCCCGAAGACTTCGAATTCCCTTTTACGTCCCCACATTCGGCTGACGATTTCCAAACTCGCGTATTTACGATGTTTCTCTGTCACGTTTTGATCGCACGACACAGCAACATCTTTAAGTAGACACGATTTTTTCTCCAAATCCCGGATAACAATATCAAGTTTGTTTACCACTATCGTGCAATCATTTTCAATTTGATAGTCGTACAGTGTTGTACACAGTCCAACAGACGTCACCGGTTTTGGTGAGTATTCGTACCACTTGGAGCAAGTGTTTGGAACTTCCGAGTGCGGTACAAATTTTCAAGAAGAGGTAAC